AACTGTGTAATAATAACAGTAGCAATTAGAGATGCACCAATACCGATACTAGTATTGGTATCGGTGCCCATACCGAATATTTGGTGAGTACTCGTACTCACCCACATGCTCCCGATGCTTATCCCGATACCGGAACTTCTGGTATCAAGAAGCCGGGCAGCGAGTCATTGCGCCTGGCTTTCTGATTGGCGGGGCAGCCAACTCCATGCTCCCTCATCAACAGGGAGCATGGAGCTGGCTTCCCGGCCAATCAGGGAGCTGAGGGGCAAGTCATGACCTGCCCCCCGGCTTCCTGGTTGGCCGGGAAGCCAGATCCATGCTCCCTCATCACTTGGGACAAGGGTGATGAGGGAGCAAGCTGCCCGGCTTCCTGATTAGTTGGAGAAGCTGGCCAATTAGGAAGCGAACCGGCGAGTCATTACCCGAGCCCCAGTCCCAGTTTGTCATACGATTAACGCACGGTACTGGGAACTGCAATGCAATCGACTGTGCAGCAACGCCTTGGAAGCCAGCGCATCCACTGTCCGGCCACTGAGGGCCGGACAGGAACAGACAATGGTGTTGGATATGACCCGCAAAATGCCCAGGTCCGCACTAGATGATATCCTCATGTAAAGGAGAGGGGGAGATTGCACCAAGACGTATAGTGGATTAATAAATTGAAATCTTTAACTGTTAAAGATCTTTAATCTTTAACGATCTGTAACTGTTTATGTGAGGGCTCCGTCCTCACCCAGTGCACCCAGTGTTTTTTTTTAGCGCAGCCGCAATGAAGAAAAGGAAATTTGCCCCATTCCAGATGGGCAGAGCTCACACCACCACGCTGAGGTTGTGTGCTGAAAAAAGTACGGCATGTGGTACATTTGTGCAGACAGCGTAGTGTGACACTGTACAACCGCACCGCACTGCGCCCATAGAACATAATGAAATGTCACTTGTGAGTTCTTAAAAAAAACAACAAACAAGTAAACAGTGTGATGCATAGAGATCAGCAGCCATGCGGTAGGTAGGTTTCAGGTGGGTGTTGTCAGTAGGGTTGCAACCTGTCCCTGATTCATCTGGACAGTCCAGGTTTTGAGTCCTGTATGTGCTGTTTCCAGGTTTCAGGCCCGCTGAAACCCAGACACTGCACATACAGGACTCAAAACCCGGACTGTCCAAATGAATCCGGGACAGGTGGCAACCCTAGTTGTCAGTTTCGATCAGCAGGGGATCTGTGCACGGATCGAAGCAGCATGGAACGGGCTTCACCGTTGCGACATGCGTGCCCATCCATTTTCTCCTCCATGTTCCTCCATCCAACCAACCAATGGCGTGCTGCCTCCCGAGTCCCTGCCATTGCCAGCATGTAACTCTACATATTAATTGAAGTGACTGCTGGCCGCCCGCCTCAATCAGCTGCCCACCCCCGCTCAAGTATGCTACTGCAAGAGACACATAAGGTGGAACTCGAGACTATCAAATAAGGGGGAACTCTGAGGCGTCTGATGTAAGGGCGAACTCTGGGCACTAGTCCCCAGCATCTCCCTTTACATCAGAGTCCCCAGCGTTCCCCCTTACATCAGAATACCCAGAGTCCTCCCTTACATCAGAGTCCTTGGGACTCTGATATAAAGATGTCAAGGGAGTCTCTGAGGATGCTGATATCAGGGGGCACTCTGAAGACTCTGATGTAAAGGAGAACTCTGGGGACTGTGATGTAAGGGAGATTCTGGGGACGGTGATGTAAGAGGGGACTCTGGTGACTCTAGTGAAAGGGGGAACTCTGGACACTGAGTCCCCCCATTACATCAGGGTACCCAGCGTCCCCTCTTACTTCAGTGTCTGATGTAAGGAGGGACCCTAATGTAAAGTGGGACCCAGATGTAAGGGGGAATGCTGAGGACTCTGATGTAAAAGGGGATTCCTATTTGAAGGAAACTCTAATGTAAGGGGAGACTCCAAAGACTCTGAAGGGAGACTCCGGAGACTCTGATGTAAGGAGGGACTCTGATGTAAAGGGGGACTCTGATCTAAGAGGGGAGCTCTGGTGACTTTGATGTAAGGGAGAACTCTGGGGACCCTGATGTAAAGGGGGACTCTAAGATAAAGGGAGAGCTCTGGGTACTCTGCTGTGAAGGGGGACTCTGATAAGAGTTTGACTTGCATCTTTGAGTTGATATTATGGTAAAGTTACTGTATCTACAATATGGGTGTCAGATTTAGGAATTTCAGTATTGCCATAGCTGCTATTTCCTCCAGATACGGCTCTGCCTCCAATGCAGGACCATTCCCTTCATATCGAACCAAGAGTATAGCAACCCCAATACAATCTGTGACCACAATTGGTTAACTCTTTTTTTAGTCCAATCCAGTGCTATCTTCAGAGGACTCTTATTCATCCACATTGTTACAACCTGTTAAGTAAAATGTCAGATATAAAGAAACATGTTCCCAATCAAAACATAACTTGTACACATTGTATTCCTTGCAGCTAAATGATAATAAACCTGTGGGGAAAAAAAACCTGCCCAAGGATGTGTCATGAAACTAGATACAGATCATAATCATTATTGAGAGCTTGTGGATACAATGTAACTAATTTGTTTATCCTCCAGGTGATCAGACTCTGCAAGATGCTTGGACGCATGGAGAGAAGGGGACTCCTTACGAATAGCGAGTCCCTGCTGGGCAATTCAGTCTTCCACCTTCTGGATGGTCTCCGGGGTTCTAAGGAGCACTGACATCATCACGTCTTATGCAGGTCCATTGACTTGCATTAGATGTGAGGACACAGAGGGCCATTCCATAGCCAGATCGGAGGGGAAGAGAGGTGATCGCTGACTGCCATGAGACCAAGAAGTGAGTAAATTGGGTTAATTTGAGCCCCCTAGACAAAATGAGCACTTAACCCTTGCAGGGGGGGGCAATACGTGCACATTAGGGCACACTTACCTTAACAGTGTGCCCTTCTCCAGCACTGTTGGATTGATCTTCTGTCCGCAGCATGCTCCCCCACTGCCACCATCTCCGCCTCTGACGCTTCCAGGTTCTAAAATGTTCTCTTCAGCCATTGGGTGGCCACTGATGATGTAACTTCTGCGCATGCGCGCACAGGAGATACTGTACATCATCCACAGCACTCGGCTATCCTTGTTACATGACCCCATAGAACACCTTTGGGATGAATTAGAGCGGAGACTGCGAGCCCGGACTTCTCCCCCAACCAGGTGCAAGATTTTTTTTGCCCCCCCCCAAAAAAAACAAAGCGCTCTCCTCCCGCAGCGCTCGGCCGACTGTCACTTTCTCTCCTCCCCGCTGGGAGACAGAGCAGCGCCCAGCGGGGAAGAAAGAAATCACGGATGCGCTCCTGTATCAGCAGAAAAATTGCACTTTTGGCATTTAGCCAAAAGTGCCATTTCCGCCCGATATCTTTTGGTGGCCGATATATCGGTGCAACCCTAATATTTACATATAAAAATACACAGTATACAGTATATATTTGACAAGCGGGGTAAAATCAGGAAGTTCCCAGGTGATGGGCGGAGCTATCAAAGATGAATGGGCGGGGCTGGAGGGCATGTCAGCAAACAAGCAATTCTGTTATAGATAGTCGACCGGCGAAGTGGGCGGGGCTGAAGGAAAGTTTCTTTAAGCGAAAAGGGACAGGCTAGGGCACGGAACAATAGGGCGGGACGTGTTATACAGCGATGTGAGATTGGCTGTTGTTGGCAGTAATCTGATCGCTGATTGGAAGTGAGTGCTCAGTGTGCGCAGGCTCCGGTGTTCCGTGCTGGGAGGTGAGCGGAGTGCCGGGCTCTGGTGTGAGTATTTAGGGGAGGAGGAAGCCCCCTTATGGCCCGGTGTAGAGGGAGGAGCTGTCTGTGTCTCGGTGTGTGATGTGGCGGTAGGGAGTGAACTGTACGGAGGTGTCAGGGAGCTGCCCTGAGCTTGAAGACGTTTTTGTATTGACACATTGCATAGTGCGGTCAGTGCTTGGTGTGGTCCTTGATGGAGTGTCCCCTCTGTGTGTAATGTGGCCCCTGATGTGAGTGTCCCCTCTGTGTGTATAGTGTGGGCCCCTGATGTGAGTGTCCCCTCTGTGTGTGTATAGTGTGGGCCCCTGATGTGAGTGTCCCCTCTGTGTGTGTGTATAGTGTGGGCCCCTGATGTGAGTGAGTGTCCCCTCTGTGTGTGTATAGCGTGGGCCCCTGATGTGAGTGAGTGTCCCCTCTGTGTGTGTATAGTGTGGGCCCCTGATGTGAGTGAGTGTCCCCTCTGTGTGTGTATAGTGTGGGCCCCTGATGTGAGTGAGTGTCCCCTCTGTGTGTGTATAGTGTGGGCCCCTGATGTGAGTGTCCCCTCTGTGTGTATAGTGTGGGTGGGCCCTTCTATGTATAGTGGTGGCCCCTGATGTGAGTGTCCCCTCTGTGTATAGTCAGTGGGTCCCTGATGTGA